CATTTAATGGCAGACTCTGTTGAGGCATCAGCTGGGTGGAGTTGGCTAAACCCACAACACTCAAGGTCTCCAAACCCATAGGCTGCAGGGCAGTCTGGGGAGCACCAAGTGTCTGAAGCCCTGCCACCTGGCCCAGAGGGAAACAAGGCAGTACACTACTGACTGGCTCCTGGACTACCAGCGGCTGGGTCGGAGAGCCATCTGGCCGGGGTGAGGTATTTGGGGCTGGGAGAGGGCTGCCAGTCTGCCGGTGAATCACGCTGAGTGCTGGGATGGTTAGCTGGACTGGCCCAGCCTGAATGGGTACAAATGTGGAGTAAGCAGCCAAGCCAGCAGGAACAAGCTGAATTCCACCCACAGGTACCATGCTGTATGGGGAACGAGGGGGCTGTTGGGAGTGCAAAGGCAGGTGGCTGAAGAGATGAGTAGTGGCTCCTACTCTGGACTCGTGGAGCGGACCTGCATTTGGAAAGTGCAGGGGTCCCTGAAGAGGGTCAGAAGAGGTCTGAGTACCACGGTCGACATTGGCATTGCACTCACTTGCAGGTTGAGAAATGGTGCTCGACACTCCATCCTGTTAAAAAAAAAAATCAATGTTATGAATACTTTTATCAACGCTGCCAAACAACACAAAATTGCAGACGCTGACTACCAGTTAAAATACTATTCACCTTTTCATGCATTCAAAGCAGTTTTGCTGACGTGCCAGGCATGCGAGACTCAAGACATTTGAATGCATATGGGGTCGGGTACTGGTATGGGGTGAGGTGTACATGTAGAGAGGGAGGGATGTACGACGAGAAAGACAATGATTGCGAGGACACGGGTCTCACCTGGCCGAGCTTGGCGCCCTTGCCTGGCACTGGGGGACTAGGGGGAACTTCAAATTCAGGGTAGTCGATGGACATCTGCCTGCAAGGTGACACTGGGCTCATCATGTGTACGGAGTCAGTATCAGAGTTCTGCGATTCTGAGGCAGGGACGGGGTGGGATGTGAAAGATGTGGGACTAGGACCGGGGCTGGAGCAGGATGCAGAAATTGACATCTGTCTGACCAACGAAACTGGGCTCATCATAGCCACAGACTCTGTGTCTGAGGTGTGGGAGTCTGAAGCTGGAGGAGGCTGAGTTTGAGGAGCTGGGGTTAGATTCGGGCTGATGGACATCTGAGCCAGCAGGGAGCTAGGAGCTGTGTCGGCTTGGTTAGCAGGAAAATGCTGTGGGCTTGCAGAAACAGAAGGTGTTGCAGAGAGGCCAGATTCTGCTTGACTGTCCTCCTCGTCTTCCTCTTCTCCATCGTTATCTTCATCGTCTGGGCCATCAGAGTCATCACCATCCGAGTCCTGTCTGTCAGCACTTCCTGCTCTTCCTCGATCACCTTTGGAGAAAAAAAAATAGGAAATGGGATATTATAAAATATAACATAGCTAATCCTAACGTATGGCTATAAAAGAGCTAGGTTCTACTTGGAAAATTCTCCAAGGAAGTTTATTTATTCAAAATGATGCACAAAATTATTTCACCACTGGGATAGTATGACCTTTACTCTTCAGGAATCTTTAAGTAATGTTTGGTCCTTCAGCATAGCAAAAAAAAAGGAATAATAGGTCTAGAAACACCCCTTCTCATAATATAGGCAAGACATTAACACCTCAGACCACAAATGCAGCCTGTGCTTGACAGCTTGTGTAGAACTGTGTGAGAGGAAAACAAATATGCTCTCTGTAACTGAGACCAGAGAAAGCTCACAGCTTCTCTCTCTCTCTCTCTTTCCTGCTAAAATTAGATGCTGCAATTTCCTCGCGGTAAACGCTGTGTATGCCGCCCACATGCACCAAGAGTTAACAAGGAAAAAGACTGCGTTTAGTTTCTCTAATTAGACCGTGGCATTGCCATTGATCATAACTGCAATAGAACATAGCCTAGCTAGAGACAATCCACATTTAACAGATGGTTATATTATTAGTAAACCTATTAATGGTCAGGTTGATTATGTAATTAAACATGACTATGTAATGGTGTAATCAAAACTATAGTTTCTGCTTTCTGAGTTGGTTAGTAAAAGTGTGGGTCCTCATTAAATTAACCCCCTTATTCAATATGTTTAAGACCTTCTACCTGAGTCTTCTGTGTCCTGGTCCTCAAT